GTATGAGCGAGAGGCAGGTGGCAGAGCACTATGAGGGAGGGGCAGGTGGCAGGGCACTGTATGAGGGAGGGACAGGTGGCAGAGCACTGTATGAGGGAGAGGCAGGTGGCAGGGCACTGTATGATGGAGAGGCAGGTGGCAGGGCACTGTATGAGGGAGAGGCAGGTGGCAGGGCACTGTATGAGGGAGAGGCAGGTGGCAGGGCACTGTATGAGGGAGAGGCAAGTGGCAGAGCACTGTATGAGGGAGGGACAGGTGGCAGGGCACTGTATGAGGGAGAGGCAGGTGGCAGGGTACTGTATGAGGGAGAGGCAGGTGGCAGGGCACTGTATGAGGGAGAGGCAAGTGGCAGAGCACTGTATGAGGGAGAGGCAGGTGGCAGGGCACTGTATGAGGGAGAGGCAGGTGGCAGGGCACTGTATGAGGGAGAGGCAAATGGCAGAGCACTGTATGAGGGAGGGACAGGTGGCAGAGCACTGTATGAGGGAGAGGCAGGTGGCAGGGCACTGTATGAGGGAGAGGCAGGTGGCAGGGCACTGTATGAGGGAGAGGCAGGTGGCAGGGCACTGTATGAGGGAGAGGCAGGTGGCAGGGTACTGTATGAGGGAGAGGCAGGTGGCAGGGCACTGTATGAGGGAGAGGCAAGTGGCAGAGCACTGTATGAGGGAGAGGCAGGTGGCAGGGCACTGTATGAGGGAGAGGCAGGTGGCAGGGCACTGTATGAGGGAGAGGCAAGTGGCAGAGCACTGTATGAGGGAGAGGCAGGTGGCAGAGCACTGTATGGAGGGAGAGGCAGGTGGCAGGGCACTGTATGAGGGAGAGGCAGGTGGCAGGGCACTGTATGAGGGAGAGGCAGGTGGCAGGGCACTGTATGAGGGAGAGGCAGGTGGCAGGGCACTGTATGAGGGAGAGGCAGGTGGCAGGGCACTGTATGAGGGAGAGGCAGGTGGCAGGGCACTGTATGTGGGAGGGGCAGGTGGCAGGGCACTGTATGAGGAGAGGCAGGTGGCAGAGCACTGTATGAGGGAGAGGCAGGTGGCAGGGCACTGTATGAGCGAGAGGCAGGTGGCAGAGCACTATGAGGGAGGGGCAGGTGGCAGAGCACTGTATGAGGGAGGGGCAGGTGGCAGGGCACTGTATGAGCGAGAGGCGGATGGCAGGGCACTGTATGAGGGAGAGGCAGGTGGCAGGGCACTGTATGAGGGAGAGGCAGGTGGCAGGGCACTGTATGAGGGAGAGGCGGATGGCAGGGCACTGTATGAGGGAGAGGCAGGTGGCAGGGCACTGTATGAGGGAGAGGCGGATGGCAGGGCACTGTATGAGGGAGAGGCAGGTGGCAGAGCACTGTATGAGGGAGAGGCAGGTGGCAGGGCACTGTATGAGGGAGAGGCAGGTGGCAGAGCACTGTATGAGGGAGAGGCAGGTGGCAGGGCACTGTATGAGCGAGAGGCAGGTGGCAGAGCACTATGAGGGAGGGGCAGGTGGCAGGGCACTGTATGAGGGAGGGACAGGTGGCAGAGCACTGTATGAGGGAGAGGCAGGTGGCAGGGCACTGTATGATGGAGAGGCAGGTGGCAGGGCACTGTATGAGGGAGAGGCAGGTGGCAGGGCACTGTATGAGGGAGGGCAGGTGGCAGGGCACTGTATGAGGGAGAGGCAAGTGGCAGAGCACTGTATGAGGGAGGGACAGGTGGCAGGGCACTGTATGAGGGAGAGGCAGGTGGCAGGGCACTGTATGAGGGAGAGGCAGGTGGCAGGGCACTGTATGAGGGAGGCAGGTGGCAGGGCACTGTATGAGGGAGAGGCAGGTGGCAGGGTACTGTATGAGGGAGAGGCAGGTGGCAGGGCACTGTATGAGGGAGAGGCAAGTGGCAGAGCACTGTATGAGGGAGAGGCAGGTGGCAGGGCACTGTATGAGGGAGAGGCAGGTGGCAGGGCACTGTATGAGGGAGAGGCAAGTGGCAGAGCACTGTATGAGGGAGGGACAGGTGGCAGGGCACTATATGAGGGAGAGGCAGGTGGCAGGGCACTGTATAAGGGAGAGGCAGGTGGCAGGGCACTGTATGAGGGAGAGGCAGGTGGCAGGGCACTGTATGAGGGAGAGGCAGGTGGCAGGGTACTGTATGAGGGAGAGGCAGGTGGCAGGGCACTGTATGAGGGAGAGGCAAGTGGCAGAGCACTGTATGAGGGAGAGGCAGGTGGCAGGGCACTGTATGAGGGAGAGGCAGGTGGCAGGGCACTGTATGAGGGAGAGGCAAGTGGCAGAGCACTGTATGAGGGAGGGACAGGTGGCAGGGCACTGTATGAGGGAGAGGCAGGTGGCAGGGCACTGTATGAGGGAGAGGCAGGTGGCAGGGCACTGTATGAGGGAGAGGCAGGTGGCAGGGCACTGTATGAGGGAGAGGCAGGTGGCAGGGCACTGTATGAGGGAGAGGCAGGTGGCAGGGCACTGTATGTGGGAGGGGCAGGTGGCAGGGCACTGTATGAAGGAGAGGCAGGTGGCAGAGCACTGTATGAGGGAGAGGCAGGTGGCAGAGCACTATGAGGGAGGGGCAGGTGGCAGAGCACTGTATGAGGGAGGGGCAGGTGGCAGGGCACTGTATGAGCGAGAGGCGGATGGCAGGGCACTGTATGAGGGAGAGGCAGGTGGCAGGGCACTGTATGAGGGAGAGGCAGGTGGCAGGGCACTGTATGAGGGAGAGGCGGATGGCAGGGCACTGTATGAGGGAGAGGTAGGTGGCAGGGCACTGTATGAGGGAGAGGCGGATGGCAGGGCACTGTATGAGGGAGAGGCAGGTGGCAGAGCACTGTATGAGGGAGAGGCAGGTGGCAGGGCACTGTATGAGGGAGAGGCAGGTGGCAGAGCACTGTATGAGGGAGAGGCAGGTGGCAGGGCACTGTATGAGCGAGAGGCAGGTGGCAGAGCACTATGAGGGAGGGGCAGGTGGCAGGGCACTGTATGAGGGAGGGACAGGTGGCAGAGCACTGTATGAGGGGCAGGTGGCAGGGCACTGTATGAGGGAGAGGCAGGTGGCAGGGCACTGTATGAGGGAGAGGCAGGTGGCAGAGCACTGTATGAGGGAGGGGGAGGTGGCAGAGCACTGTATGAGCGAGAGGCAGGTGGCAGAGCACTGTATGAGGGAGGGGCAGGTGGCAGGGCAATGTATGAGGGAGAGGCAGATGGCAGAGCACCGTATGAGGGAGGGGCAGGTGGCAGGGCACTGTATGAGGGAGAGGCAGGTGGCAGGGCACTGTATGAGGGAGAGGCAGGTGGCAGAGCACTGTATGAGGGAGAGGCAGGTGGCAGGGCACTGTATGAGGGAGAGGCAGGTGGCAGAGCACTGTATGAGGGAGAGGCAGGTGGCAGGGCACTGTATGAGGGAGAGGCAGGTGGCAGAGCACTGTATGAGGGAGAGGCAGGTGGCAGAGCACTGTATGAGGGAGGGGGAGGTGGCAGGGCACTGTATGAGGGAGAGGCAGGTGGCAGAGCACTGTATAAGGGAGGGGCAGGTGGCAGGGCACTGTATGAGGGAGAGGCAAGTGGCAGGGCACTGTACGAGGGAGAGGCAGGTGGCAGAGCACTGTATGAGAGAGGGGCAGGTGGCAGGGCACTGCATGAGGGAGAGGCAAGTGGCAGGGCACTGTATAGGAGAGAGACAGGTGGCACAGCACTGTATGAGGGAGAAGCAGGTGGCAGAGCACTGTATGAGGGAGGGGCAGGTGGCAGGGCACTGTATGAGGGAGAGGCAAGTGGCAGGGCACTGTATGAGGGAGGAGCAGGTGGCAGGGCACTGTATGAGTGAGAGGCAGGTGGCAGAGCACTGTATGAGGGAGGGCAGGTGGCAGGGCACTGTATGAGGGAGGGGCAGGTGGCAGAGCACTGTATGAGGGAGAGGCAAGTGGCAAGGCACTGTATGAGGGAGAGGCAGGTGGCAGGGCACTGTGTGAGGGAGAGGCAGGTGGCAGTGCACTGTATGAGGGAGGCACAGGTGGCAGGGCACTGTATGAGGGAGGGGCAGGTGGCAGGGCACTGTATGGGGGAGAGGCAGGTGGCAGGGCACTGTATGAGGGAGAGGCAGGTGGCAGGGCACTGTATGAGAGGCAGGTGGCAGGGCACTGTATGAGGGAGAGGCAGGTGGCAGGGCACTGTATGAGGGAGGGGAAGGCGGAAGGTACTGTATGAGGAAGGGGCAGGTGGCAGGGCACTGTATGAGGGAGACAGGTGGCAGGGCACTGTGTGAGGGAGAGTGAGGTGGCAGGGCACTGCATGAGGGAGGGACAGGTGGCAGGGCACTGTGTGAGGGAGAGGCAGGTGGCAGTGCACTGTATGAGGGAGAAACTGGTGGCAGGGCACTGTATGAGGGAGAAGCAGGTGGCAGGGCACTGCGTGAGGGAGGGACAGGTGGCAGGGCACTTTATGAGGGAGGCGCAGGTGGCAGTGCACTGTATGAGGGAGGGGAAGTTGGAAGGCACTGTATGAGGGAGGGGCAGGTGGCAAGGCACTGTTTGATGGAGGGACAGGTGGCAGGGTATATGAAAAACAATTGCTTTTCCACATGACTTTCATGATGGGAACAAAGAATAATAATGTTCCCCAGTTATATTCCATAACACAGGATTGTTTTTTGAAAGTCGTTGTAATGAAGCCTGACAATTTGATGTAGGAGGCTTCAGTAGGGCAAATGAGGATTCCTTAAAGTATTTCATTACGGGTTCATTAGCTATAAAAGTTGTTAAGATTTCGTTCCTTCTAGAAGTCACCTACGTAGGCGCTGTCATATCTGGAGATGGCCCGTCAGACATGATAAGTGGGAATTATTTGGATATTTTCAGAAGTATTGAAAAAGTGTGTAAATATACAGTGGATGAAGGACCAGAGAACAAGGGATACGGGTGAATGAGGAAGGTCTAGGGCAAGCAAAACAAAATATAAAGGGGAAGGGAAGAGTCAAGAAATGATGAAAAGGGAGCATGGAACAGCAAGATGACATAATACTCACAGTATTTCGAGAAGTGCGAGGCCCCTGAAAGCCTGCTCGTCGATGCAGGTGATCTGGTTCTCGTCCAGCTGCCTGTAATAACACAAAACATCACACACGAATTAATTACACACATTCTAAGGTATACAGCCTTGGTAACAAACACAGTTTTGTATACAATACAGGAACATGTAACACCATCGCTGCTAATACCATTCTCCCTATTTTTGTTAACTGGATATCTTGTTTACTCTCATGTATGAATAATACTGGATGACCTACTGAATATGGTCTGAGAATAAAAATCTTTGTTACTGCCGTTGTTTTCCCTTCTCCCTATGGTTCCAGACTTACGGGACACTCACAGTTGTAGAATAAGACATGTGTAGCGATGGACTCAACGCTGTGTTCCCATACACTTGTAGTATACCAAGTCTTACTTGTCAACACTCCCTTAAGTCGCTCTGAAGCCTAACACTCACAATTGTAATACTTTTATAATCACGGGAAAACGTTAAACTCTTAGGGGTTATACAGTGTCTGGGGAATGGGATATAATCAGATTTGCTGAAAGGAAGAGGTTACATTCAATTTCTTCCATACCATTTTTCACCTACCTGGAGTCTACCAGGAGAGTGTTCCGAGGGTTAACGGAGTTTGGTCCCAGACAGACCAGGCTTCTCGGTGGATAGCCTAATCAACCAGGCTAAAAGTGCTAGACGCACGAAATCCAACATGAGCACCACAGCCCAACTGATCAAGCACTAACCATAGAAACTTGCTTGAAGACAGCCATGGGTTTGATGGTAATCCTCCATATGTATGATGGGAGGACGTTGAAAAGGCTTGATTCCTTCATACTTATGTTTTATCAAGTTTACACACTAATTTTCATTGGGGGTATTTTGCACCATTTGCCAAGCCTCTTAATTACTTACGGAATGTTTGTGTGTGCAGATTTGGGACCTATCCTGCTAGAGTTTTTCCAGGTGTAGACTGCAATGTGTGTATCTCTCTCGCCTACGTTCCAAGGAGTACAGATCGAGGGACTCAAAACGCTAATTTAGGTGCGTGACTGAATCTATACGAGCAATGAAGGGTCTCTGCACATTCTCCTCGAGTTTTCAATTTCGCAAATCTTGAATGGAGCTGTTAGAATACATCAGTACTCGAGCCTAGAGAGAACACGATACATAAAAGACTATTATTATTGGTTTGGCATCCCTTGTTTTGAAGATTCTAGTTATTAAGTCTATTATTTCCCTTGTGGTTGTGATAGTGACACTGTTTTAATCCTTGAAGATGAGATATTCTGACATGATCACTTCAAGGTCTCCCACATTAGCCTTACGCTCTAATGAGTGAATTCAAGCTTGTTTTATACTCCGTTCAAATCTTTATCTCCTCAGTCTTTCCATAACCGGAGTAGCAGAAACTAATTCTCATTAAACATCACATTGTGAGTGGCCTACTGACTGTTTATATCAGCTTGAAGGGTTGCTGTATCCTCAATGGATGCCACTCGTATACAGATTCTAGTATCGTCTGCAAAGGATGATAGGGCACTATGACTTATGCCTGTCTATGTCGAATATGAGACACAGAACAGGGGCCAGTATTATGCTTTGGGGAAAAGAGCTTTTCACTACGGCAGCCTTCGATTTCACCCTGTTCACCATTACACTTTGGAGTCTATTCGTCAGAAAATTATGTATATATATAAACCATACCCCCGGCCGGGATTGAACCCGCGGTCATAGAGTTTCAAAACTCCAGCCCGTCGCGTTAGCCACTAGACCAGCTAGCCACAATAAGATTCATCCAACTAGGTATATTTCTACACCATAGGAAAGTTAGCACAGGCACCTCTGTGACCACAAATGCAAGTTTTTACAGACGAATCTCCAGCTAGCGTGGCCGTGACGAACTCTAGCTCAAGTCCCTTCACTGCCGTCAACATGACTCAAGAAATCGTAATGACACGATTGCAAATAAACCATACCCCCGGCCGGGATTGAACCCGCGGTCAGTGAGTTTCAAAACTCCAGCCCGTCGCGTTAGCCACTAGACCAGCTAGCCACAATAAGATTCATCCAACTAGGTATATTTCTACACCATAGTGGCTAACGCGACGGGCTGGAGTTTTGAAACTCTATGACCCCGGGTTCAATCCCGGCCGGGGGTATGGTTTTTTTTGCAATCGTGTCATATACGATTTATTGAGTTATGTATATATATATATATATATATATATAATATATATATATATATATATATAATAATATATATATATATATATATATTATAATATATATATTTAAATTGAAAGAATTAAGAGTAAGACAGAGAATAGGATAGCAGATGAACAAGGAGGCTTTAGGAAAGGTAGGGGGTGTGTGGACCAGGTGTTTACAGTGAAACATATAAGTGAACAGTATTTAGATAAGGCAAAAGAAGTCTTTGTGGCATTTATGGATTTGGAAAAGGCGTATGACAGGGTGGATAGGGGGGGAATGTGGCAGATGTTGCAAGTGTATGGTGTAGGAGGTAGGTTACTGAAAGCAGTGAAGAGTTTTTACGAGGATAGTGAGGCTCAAGTTAGAGTATGTAGGAAAGAGGGAAATTTTTTCCCAGTAAAAGTAGGCCTTAGACAAGGATGTGTGATGTCACCGTGGTTGTTTAATATATTTATAGATGGGGTTGTAAGAGAAGTAAATGCGAGGGTCTTGGCAAGAGGCGTGGAGTTAAAAGATAAAGAATCACACACAAAGTGGGAGTTTGTCACAGCTGCTCTTTGCTGATGACACTGTGCTCTTGGGAGATTCTGAAGAGAAGTTGCAGAGATTGGTGGATGAATTTGGTAGGGTGTGCAAAAGAAGAAAATTAAAGGTGAATACAGGAAAGAGTAAGGTTATGAGGATAACAAAAAGATTAGGTGATGAAAGATTGAATATCAGATTGGAGAGAGAGAGTATGGAGGAGGTGAACGTATTCAGATATTTGGGAGTGGACGTATCAGCGGATGGGTCTATGAAAGATGAGGTGAATCATAGAATTGATGAGGGAAAAAGAGTGAGTGGTGCACTTAGGAGTCTGTGGAGACAAAGAACTTTGTCCTTGGAGGCAAAGAGGGGAATGTATGAGAGTATAGTTTTACCAACGCTCTTATATGGGTGTGAAGCGTGGGTGATGAATGTTGCAGCGAGGAGAAGGCTGGAGGCAGTGGAGATGTCATGTCTGAGGGCAATGTGTGGTGTGAATATAATGCAGAGAATTCGTAGTCTGGAAGTTAGGAGGAGGTGCGGGATTACCAAAACTGTTGTCCAGAGGGCTGAGGAAGGGTTGTTGAGGTGGTTCGGACATGTAGAGAGAATGGGGCGAAACAGAATGACTTCAAGAGTGTATCAGTCTGTAGTGGAAGGAAGGCGGGGTAGGGTCGGCCTAGGAAAGGTTGAAGGGAGGGGGTAAAGGAGGTTTTGTGTGCGAGGGGCTTGGACTTCCAGCAGGCGTGCGTGAGCGTGTTTGATAGGAGTGAATGGAGACAAATGGTTTTTAATACTTGACGTGCTGTTGGAGTGTGAGCAAAGTAACATTTATGAAGGGATTCAGGGAAACCGGCAGGCCGGACTTGAGTCCTGGAGATGGGAAGTACAGTGCCTGCACTCTGAAGGAGGGGTGTTAATGTTGCAGTTTAAAAACTGTAGTGTAAAGCACCCTTCTGGCAAGACAGTGATGGAGTGAATGATGGTGAAAGTTTTTCTTTTTTCGGGCCACCCTGCCTTGGTGGGAATCGGCCAGTGTGATAATAAATATATATATATATATATAATATATATATATATATATATATATATATATATATATATATATATATATATATATATATATATATATTATATAATTTGGTACAAAATTAATTTTTACATTAACATAAATGAAAAATTATATCTTTACGCGTACAAGAGAAAATTTTGGAAAGACTTGCTTTTAAATGAGTTCTTGCTAACTGACCAGTTTTGCCTAGTCGGCACGACATTATATATATAAATCTCCATGGTAGAGCGCATTTGGGTCCAGCAATCTATGAGTATTGGAGCACAAATAGAGTACTGGATGTTGGCCTGTAGAATTCGATACCCTGCCAAGCCTACAACCGTAAAAAGGATTGCCTAGGATCATGCTGATACAGTTTCCGATGCTCCAGCAGCAGCCCAACTGTGAGAGCTTTATCTTGCTGGGATGGATTTGCTGCTTGAGGGTTGCCCGCTGCTCTGGCTCTAGTCACACCAGAGTCAGAGCAGTCGTGTAAATGCTTTAGAAAACCGACAAGTTAAAGAATGGGACACTTGTACTGCATTTGGGAAACTTTATTGAGGAAACGACTGATGGACTGAATACATGGAACCCAGACTGAGGGATTACCTCAAACTTATCTTACACTGTTCTTCTCTGTATTGGACAGAAGCCACTGGCTGGCGAAACGTTACCTCAATAAAGATTTGTAAATGAATATCAAAATTGTATACAATACCGACAGGTTGGTACGTAAGACACATAAGCAACAGTTCAGCAACTTTATTCCGAAACGCTTCGCCTACGCAGTAGGCTTCTTAGTCGAGTACAGCAAGAAGGCAGAGCAGTAGAGATGTGAAGACAGGGAAACTCAGGCGCCTCTTAATACCATACAGATTTTTTGTTGCTACTGGTAACACACCTGCGAACAATATTTCCATACTTGCGCACATATTTACATTACTGTACCTCTTACATCCTAACTTCATCTTATCTTCCAGGAATTCCAAGACTGGTTTAACGCTATTCAAAACAAAATACTATTAGTACAGTACTAAATACTACTGTATAATACTGAAAGTGCAATAAAGTACACCGTACTACTACTACAACAGCTGTCTTGCAAGGTGCAGAAGTGAAGAAAATCCAACGATAAATTTTAAAAATATTAATGTCTCTCCTTCCATTAGGATTATATTTTGTGCACTGGTTGGCGAAACATTTCCGGAATAATGATGCCCAAATGTTACATAAGTGTCTCCTTTATCACTTTGTCGGCTTTGTAAACCATTTATGCAAAT